CCTATGGTTTTCAGAGTTGTTGCTGTGTCTGCTCCAGCTGTGCATCTTGTGTTTGTGAGCAGACTCCCTGTGTCCAGTTGTTCGTCTCTCATCTGAAATGTGCAGTCATTTACTGTACAACCGGAAAGTATGGATATAGCCATGCTTTCTTAACTTTTGTTCCTATCTTTTGATCAAATTAGTAGTAGTAATGAGAAAACTCCTTCTTAAAGAAACCATATTAGCCTATGCTCTTTTACAGTCTTGATAGGTTTTTACTTATTTTAAATTGTTGCAGCACCTCTCTTCCCAGTCTGTTTGTAACGCTCTGTTTAGTCCCAATTGGCAGTTGTACTCTGATTGGTCAGCTGGACCAGTATGCTTTGATCTCAACACACTATACTAATACAACTCAACTAAGCTTCGAACCATCCCCTATTTTAGGCAGTTCAGAAAAAGAAATTGGTAGGTCATCTTTAAAAGAAGTATGACGGATACATGCTCATTGCTAAACATTAGTTGAAAGGGTTCTTTAAAAAATGAAGTAAGTTGAAATCTCTGTGAACCCTTCCCACTGGACACCTTCAAAGACTTCACCCTAGAACCAACCTAAAAACCATCGCTATCTGAGTTATTCTATAATTAAGGCTTTTGGGCATTTGATACTGAGAAGAAAAATAGGATTTTTTTCCCAAAACACAAATATGATCTTGCATGTGCGTTTCAAAGATTTCAAAGCCTGCAGTAGCCATTTTGCTAAGTCTTTGTCGTTTTTTTTTTCTTCTTTAAATAAGGAATTTGATTTAAGTTATGTAATGTTTTAGAAGATTCCTCTCTTAACATTGGACTCCTTGCTGTTTAATGTGCACAAATATCTGCCCTGGAAAAGAGGTTGTGGGAAGGAACAATAATTCAATTCCATTCAAACTTCTTTGCTTTTACAAAAAGCTCAAAAGCAGCTTAGCAAAGAAAAGTGCTTTACAATCCCCACAGTTCAAGCCAAAGTGGCGTAGGTTGTACAAAAAAAACTCCATTTAAAATACGAGGGCAAGATAAGAAAGAAATCTTAAGAGAAACTATAGGCTATTGTATTCTGTTGGATTTTTATTACATCCTAAATTATTTAGCTGATGCATTTCTTCACATTGATGTTCAAATTGAGCACAATCACACATCCTTGTCATAGTTGTTGTGTGAACATCCCCTTCGTGTTGACGTGAATATTTTAGAAAATATCAGACTGCTGGATGGCGTGAAGATACGATTTTTGAGCCTGCCCAAAATAATTTGTGATTTAAATTTAAAGATTTGCAGTAGATCTGTTCAATCATCTTATAAATCCATCAGAATTTTGTGACAGGTCATGGTGCGTTTGTTGCACATTTCCATTTACGTTGCATACGTTTTCTGTCTTTTCAAAATTGATCTTTATCAGCTGTGTCACTGTCACTCACTTCAGTAATAAAGATCTACACCTACACTGAATTAAACCCCAGCTGTCAGTCGTCACTTATACTGTCCCTGAACAAAAGCTTCAAGACACATTTACATTTATCACATGAAAACTGTACCACTGACATTTCAGCTTATCATCAGTTCGAATTAAAGATTCTAGACAGCTTTAGAATTAAAGGTGCAAGTTTGAACTAAACAGGATTTTACTGTCTGATATCATACATTTACATTTATTCACTCAGCTGACGCTTTTTTACAATTGCTATATATGTCAGACGTCAAACGCCTCTGGAGCAACTAGGGGCTAAAGGGATAGTTCACTTCCAAGATGTTGGTGTCTTTGTTTCCACAGTGTTTTCAATTTTGATATTTTTAGGTCAAACCGTTCTTGTCTGTCAGTCATATAATGGAGGTCTATGGGGTCCACCTCAAAGAGCATGTACAGAGAAGTCCAAATTAAACATGATTTAATGACTCGTAAATGTAAGTACGCATTGATGGCCTAAGACACGAAACGAGCGGTTTGTGTGAGAAAACGAACAGTATTTATATCGTTTTTACCTTGTGTAACCACAGCCATGTCCAACTGATCTGAAGGCACATATTTAGATATACAGGAAATCGCAGTGGAAGATGATTTCGATATATCTAAATATGTTTCGATCTTCACAGTGAAAGGTAAAACTTCTGAAATCTCTGTGTAAACATAGAGTGACATACACGCGCAAGCGATCACTTCCGGCGCATGCGCAGACCAAAGCGCCCGTGCCGTCAGATCAGTTGGACATGGCTGTGGTTACATGAGGTAAAAACTATATAAATACTGTTCGTTTTCTCACACAAACCGCTCGTTTTGTGTCTTAGGCCATCAGTGTGTACTTACATTTACGAGTCATTAAATCGTGTTTAATTTTAAATTCTTTGTGCATGCTCTTTGAGGTGGACCCCATACACCTCCATTATATGACTGACAGACAAGAACGGTTTGACCTAAAAATATCAAAATTGAAAACACTGTGGAAACAAAGACACCTACATCTTGGATGCCCTTGAGGTAAGCTAAAAGATATCAAAAATTAATTTCAAAGTGAACTATCCCTTTAAGTGTCTTGCACATTGGTGTCTCACAGTGGATTCGAACCCGGGTCTCACACCAACGGCATGTGTCTCATCACTTTGAAGAACCCAGAAACCACAAGTTCTGAAGAAATCTATCATGAAGTAACCATGAAGCAAACTCTAGAGCCTATATTACAGCCAAACATGTTTTTCTTGGCTAAAATGCAAAGAACCAGCATCGTAAGGACCTTGAAGGGAATGTAAAAGTGTGAATGTACTTGAATAGTAAAAGCAGCTAGATTTCTGTCAGGTTTCACAGCCAGAGGTTTCTTAGCTTTTTATTTAACATAGCATGTTTTATGTATTCTCATGAACGTTCTAATTGCCATTAATGCGGGTTGCACATTTATTACAAGTCACTTAGGTAAGAATCTGTTATGAATAAGAATGTCAGAATATGAATCCATTACAATATATTTAGTGAGATCAGAATGGTTAGATATAATGATATAGTTGTTTAAACCTTAATGAGTATGTTCAACATAAATTATAAATACTAAAAACTAACACATTTGAGCTACTTAAAAGAAACAAGGGGATTGTAAATTAAAGCGTTATGTTTTTTCACTGCTCCATAAACCAAAACAGACAACATTATAACACACAATACAATATTATCATATATCATGCACAACAAAAGAAAATCTTATTCTCAAAAACACACTGTTGGCATCATGCATTTAAAAAAAGATTTTAACACTGCAAGTAACCTCTTCTTCAGATAATAAATACCATATCATACTCAGGTCATTCAATAATGTATTTCGCCCATGAAATCTTATTCAGCTATATAGCCTAATGGATATAATGAGTAAATTTGGCAGACAATACCTAAATGCATTTTAAACTGCAAAAAAATAATGTTTTTAAGCGTCTCCAAGACTCAATGTGTATCTAATGTTTCCATTTGTATGGAATATGAAAGTGCTGTGGATCACTTAATGGCAATGCACTATACGCGCAAGTATATAAATCTTCACTTCACTTATGACAGATTGACAGAAAAGACTCACCCCCCCTTTCATTTTCCTTTTCAAGAACACATTCTCGCTGGGCTATTACATTTACTGAGCTTGAAAATCTGGGTCATTAAGGCCTACTTACACCCTGCAGTGACACGGCAAACACAAGAAGCACAACTAGAGGATGTCACATGACTCTCTCAGAAACATGCTCTCAAACATGTTGATTATTACGTATGATTCAGAACACACAACATCACATCAACAGAGATGACAGTATATTCACCTGACATTAAAAAAAGAAAGCTTTACAGTTTGTCAGTCTCCAGTTGGACTTCAATACCCTGTGACAAAAGAAGCACCTTCCCTGAGAAGTATGATGTAAACACATTCACTACTCATGCATCAATCTCATTTTAAAGCTACGTATGAGTGAGTTCTTGTTGCAACTGCAAGGGACGTGATAGTGTGTTAGCCAGAGTACAACCTTTTTCTTCATAAACATTTCTCGGCTTTTGTAGGATTCTATATTATTGAATGTTTTTTGTACATTTATTAGAGTATTGACAGCATCTAAAATATATGTATGAACAGACTGAACTCATTTCAAAGATTTTTGTATGTTTCAAAAACACATTACTGTTCAAAGTTTTTTTTTTATGTTTTTGAAAGGATGCTTACCAAGGATGCATTTATTTGATTTTTTGAAGAAAAAAAATGTAATTTTTCATAATTTTATGAAATATTATTACATTTTAAAATAAACGTTTTACATTTTTTTTAATGCAGTTGCATGATGTCAAAGCTGATTCTTTGATGAATAGAAAGAAACAAATAAATGTTTTGATCAATTTAATGCTAATACAATTTTATTTTATTTTTTTACTGAACTTAATCTTTTGAATGGTATTGTATATAATAGTACATTGTGACTAAAATTATCGCCAGTTTATCTGCCTATTACGTTTCTATAACATTTTGAAGAGTGGTTAGATTTACGATAGGGGTGGGCTAAAAAAGATGAATAAGTGTGAAATATACTGTACAAATACATTTATAAAACTATGAAAATGAGTAATAAAAATAATAGTAATAAGTTATGACAAAATATGTTTTTATATTGCTTTAACTCATCGAAATAATTTAAGCAATTTTAAAAACATTTGATGGGTTATTCAAGATTCAATTTTTAATGCAAGTTTAATGTAATTTAAGTTGAAATGACAAACATCTAAGTTGATTGTACTAAAAAAATTAAGGCAGTCACTTTTTTTACTGTAAAAAATAATCCTGTAAAAAAACGGTAAACTACTGGCAGCTGTGGTTGCAAAGCATCATATTGTAAAAATACAGTGTGTTACTGTTTTTGAAATGAACAGCTAAATACTGTATTGTGAGCTACAGTATAAAACTTTAATTTAACAGCTATATGCTCTAACACAAAAACAGTAACATACTGTATAGTTACGATATGACGCTGGCAACCACAGCTGCCAGTAGTTTACCGTTTTTTTTACAGGATTATTTTTTACAGTGATTCAGAAAGATGAATAATTACTTTTAGATTTTAGATGCTGTCAAAACATCCATTTTTTGCACGACATAACAGCCTATATGCGAGCACGTAAACGCCACATTCAGGACTATGCAATTGGTGCCCTGGCCACATTTGAAATATAGATTCTTATGAGATCAGGCTGCCCTGTAATAATATCACAGACTTCAAATGCTGGACCTCTTGAGGCTGTGATTCTGAATCTATTGAATAAAAAGTCTACACATTAACCGATACCATTAAAGTCTACACATTAACCGATATTAAGAGGCTGGTTTAGGATTCCTGAAGTGGTACTATTGAACATTTCCACCAGGAACCTAATCAAGAACCAATGTTCATTATTATGCATGTAATATCTCAAAACGCTAAATTCACACATCTTATTTGTTTATGAAAGTAATTTCCTCACAAACAAGCCATTCAAGAGCGATGCCCTTTGTGATGGCAGGTGGAGATGCTGAAATATGAATTTGTACGAGATAAAAACCCTTGATGTAAATGACATTTTCAACAAAAGCCACAAGTCGCAACGTTCTAATTAATCTGCAGAAAAAAACAAACATGATTGGCATATTAAGCAAAGGGAAAAAATGATTACAAAATGTAATCACCTGAATCAGGAAAATAAATGGGTATTAAATATAACTTGAGTAATTTACGCAGCTCATCAGTGAATGAATCAAAAGATGTGACGCATCCTGTTGAGGAGAGCAGGCAGTGTGTGTTGTTGTCCCATTGTTCTTGTGAGCAGCTAGACAGCCAGCACAAGACCTGCCTTGTCACATCCGTATCTCTAATCAAATGACAAACTTTCAAGGCTGAATTGGTAGGGTTGCCACTATTCCTTGTTTTTACGGTCAGCTGGCTTCTTATCTTCCCCACTCACCATATTCTGCTCTGGGTTAGCTCCCGGACTCGTCTGGGTCACTCTTTTCATGTGAAACGGAGATGGTGAGCATTTCAATGAGCCCGTCACGATGGAGTTATTTTCTGACTCTGCAAGCACAGCCGCGTTGCGACAGTAACGCTTCAGTCCTTTGCGGAAATGGATGGTGAAGAGGCCATAAGTGATGGGATCCAGAATGGCATTAAAAAGTCCAAAAATAAACAGCATGTGAGTCAGCGAGTGAGAAACGGTCTCTTCTAAATCATCAGGAAGGAACCAGTACCAGAGACCCAGCAAGTAGTACGGTGTCCAACAAACTATGAAAGACGTCACAATGACGATGCTCATTTTCAAAGTCCTCATACGGGCCTTTGGGATGTTGCTGTTGGAACGCCGTAAGTGGATTTCCTTTGAAGAGACTGTAAAAGCGAGAAGATTTTTATGAATATGCAGTAAATATATGATGGTCCAAACACTTTTTTTTCTGGACTTAAAGGGATAGTTTAGTCTAATATTAAAGTTGTATCATCATTCACCCACCCTCATGTCATTCCAAAACTGTATGACTTTTGTCTGTGGAGCTCAAAAGCAGGTATTCGGAAGAATCTGAACTCAATATTATGACTCCATATAATGAAAGGCTGACATGATTGACAAAAAACACTTTTTCTTAAAGGAGTAGTTTACTTTAAAAAAAAACTTTTGCTGATAATTTACACACCCCCATGTCATCCAAGATATCCATGTCATTCCTTCTGCAGTCGAAAAGAAATTATGGTTTTTGATGAAAACATTCCAGGATTTTTCTCCATATAATGCACTTCAATGGGAACCAAACGATTCAAGGTCCAAAAGACAGTTTCAGTGCAAACGGCAAACTGTTCAAAGGACTTTAAACGATTCTACAAGATGAATAAGGGTCTGATCGAAACGATCGCTCATTTAAAAAAACAAAGTTTTATAAGCTCAAATGCTCACCATGCTCTGATAGGGTTAGGATGTGATGTGCGTTCGTGACTCTCCTATTCAAACTCATTCATCAAATGAACAAATCTTTTCCCGAGTCAAATCATTCATTTTCGTTCATTGAGACTAAAAAAGATTTGTTCATTTTGATAAACGAGTTCGAACAGGAGAGTCACGATTCGCGCATCACAGAACAGAGCAAGGCGACCATTTGTGCTTATAAAACTTAAACTTTGTTATCTTTTTTTATAAATGAGCGAAAATTTTGCTTGATAAGACCCTTATTCATCGTCTGGAATCGTTTAAAGCCCTTTGAACAGTTTTCCGTTTGCACTGAAACTGTCTTTTGGACCTTGAACCGTTTGGTTCCCATTGAAGTCCATTATATGGAAAAATCCTGGAATGTTTTCATCAAAAACCTTAATTTCTTTTCAACTGAAGAAAGAATGACATGGACATCTTGGATGACATGGGGTTGAGTAAATTATCAGTAAAAGTTTTTTTTAAAGTGAACTACTCCTTTAAAACAACTTCCTTTGTGTTACACAGAAGAAAAAAAGAATACAGGTTTGGAACAGCATATTTTTGAGTGATGACAGAATGATGGCAAATGAGTATTTTAATTTGGGGAAATTTTTACTTTTACACTTCATTCAAATGCACAATATCCCACTTTTTACTCCATGATTTCCATTACAGTATGCAACAGTAGCCTCCTTTCAGATGTACTGTAACTCCACTTACTGTTTCCTTTGGACATCCTTCGGGAGATCTCCACCAAGATCCTCGTGTAGCAGCAGATCATGATGGCCAGAGGTATCAGGAAGAGGCAAATGAAAGTGAACATATTGTAAATGGTCTCCTGCCAGTGTTTCACAAAGCTCCCGCGGGTGGTGCACTGAGTGAAATTGGCTGGCACCGTGATGGTCACATTGTGAAACAGAAACATCTGTGGGGGAATTCAACAAATCAGAAGATTACAATCACAACTACTGAACTTGTTTAAAACCACCAAATACATTCAAACTACGAAGACGCAATTACACAAGCTTGATTTAGAAGCTGTCAAAATGACTAATTGGTTATTTAGGAAAATTAGCAACGAACTCTAATTGACTATTCAATACTATTCAACTAATCAAGTGAACACTGTCAGCGTTGCAAATTAGATGTGGCATATATCCCCTTCAGCTAAAAGCTCAGGATTCAGTCAGTGTTCCCAGGATCGGTCTTTTGCAGAACTCTTCAGAAATATTTTGATGTCTAATTACATATTTTATCTATGACAAGGAGATTGCCAATTGAAGACTGGCACACTGACTAAAGCCATCTGTCTGGTTATGCCTCAGAAGTGATTCACAAAAACAATTGGAAAAACAAATGACAACAAAATAACGCTTTAGCCCACTGTGACCTTGTATCTTCAATCATACCTTTCTGAAATGACCTCATTCAAACACAATCTGCAGTCATAATGTGTTTTACTGTGGAGTTTTGGTACTTGTAATATAGCCTCAGTCTTTTAGCTTGCTGCCTTCTCTAAACTTAAAGGGGTACTCCACTTTTTTTTTGGGAAATAGGCTCATTTTACCACTCCCCCAGAGTTGAACAGTTGGGTTTTACCGTTTTCAAATCCATTCAGCCGATTTTCTGATATTTAGAAGAATATCAGAAACCAGTCTCATTGACTTCCATAGTAGGAAAAAATACACTATGGAAGTCAATGAGACCAGAAACTGTCTGGTTACTGATATTCTTCTAAGTATCAAAAAATCGTCTGAATATATTTGAAAACGGTAAAACCCAACTGTTTAACTCTGGGGGAGTGGTAAAATTAGTCTATTTCCAAAAAAAAAAGTGGAGTACCCCTTTAAAAGCACACTGATTTTAAACGCTCCACTTCATCAGGAGGAGCAAATAAAGAGACCTCTGCATTTATTACTTCAACTGCGCAGTGTTTTATAACGTGCACACGATTCGCTGATTGAGAATCACCCCTTATTAACAGTCATTCTACGGTAATTCCTGCTGCTGTCATCTTGAATATTTCAGATCTTGTAACTGAAGGTCACAAAGCGTTTTCTTACATATTATGTTTGAATATCATTTGTGAGCTGATTTAAAAGCATTTCGAATGTAAAAACATCTGCATGACTTACAAATTGCATAATTTATCTTGTGTGAGTGTGTGTGTGTGTGTGTGTGGTTCAGGTGTACCCTACATTATGGGGACAAAAAAAAAATTCTGGTCCCCAGTTATGTTTTTTTAAAATCTAAAAATTCAGAACATTTTCTGAACGTTTCTAAAAATGAACATTTTCTGTAATCGGTAGGTTTAGGGTAAGAGGATAATATAGTTTCTATATAAAATCATTATGTCTATGGAAAATGTGGACATGTGTGTCTGTGTGTATTCGTGTTTTTCTAGTGGGGTTTCGGGCACTCGTGTCATTGTTGAGGTCCTCATGACATGAGGAAACAAGCTTATAAGTCATACATAATGAGTTACTCTGCACCAGTCATTATGTTAAATCTGAGGTGAAATTAAATCTCTGATAAAAACGCTCTCAGTACTGTAATTGCTGAACTAATCAATGAACATCTATGAATTTGCAACACTTTATAGCTCTGATTCTAATAGCTTCTAGGTCTAGAGAGAATACTCAACGCATTCTCATGCCAAGGCGTCATACACAACGCCAATGCGTATACATCCAACGCACATGGCACCCTTTAACGTCAATATAACACGCACAGAGTATTTGTAGGTTTAGGTGTGTTGCAGGGTTAGGGTTAGACCACTAGGAGGCGCCTTCTGCCCCATATATATCTGCATCTCATATTGACGCTAAAGGGTGCCATGTGCCAATAATAACTTTATTGTTGAGAAGGTCGATGAAAAGCTTCACCGTTTTGAACAGGTCACAGCGTAAACGTGATAAACCGCATATCGTTGCCATCACCATTTAGTGCTACAGTATTTACATGAATCATTCAGCACAATATTGCTAACATTTGTTATCTCGGTTATTTACAGATACGTTAATAATGCTAAGTGACATGATGTACAACACAGCTAGAAGCTAAAGTTAATGTTTTCTAATGCCTACTACGTTAGAGATTTTAAAGATAACGTTTAAATACGTTGTTGACTTAACTTAGATCAGATGTAGACATCCCTGTTTAATTTATCCGCGTTTATTTGGTGTTGTGGTCTACCACATAACTTTATCCAGAGCAGACACTTATCTCGGTTGAGATGTGGCTTGGCCTCTCGGGAACCTAGTGTCAGATGCATGTATTGCATGTACCCCATGCACACCGTTTGATCATTTTAAACTTAAAATAACAAGAAAAAACGAATGAAAACTGACTAACTGCAATGCATTTCAATGGAAGTGGAAGCAGAGAATATCCGAGTGTATTGGGCATAGACTGTAAAAAATATGGACAAAATGTCTGTGACGTCACCCATAGACTCTCTCAAGAACGGGTTTGAGGCTGTTTATGGGGGGTATGGGCGGCGCCATATTGGAAAATCTTGGGAAATACAAAATACAAAAGTTTCAGAAAGGATACAGAGGTGGTATGATGTGTTGTGTCAGATCATGGCCGAGACGTCAAATTCACTCGGCACAGCCCGTTATCAGCTGTCAATCAAAGTTAACCGCCCTTATTTGCCATACGTTTTTTTTTATCTAAATATGATCTAAACTAACAAGTTCGAAAAAAAATCACCCCCCTCACAGTTGTCAGGCACGCAGAACATATTGAAGATTACGATAAAAGTCCATGGGACCAAACTGTAAACATATGAATTTATGCTGTGAAATGACGTCTATGGATATTTGCTCCCTTTTGGGATCGGCCTCTAGCGGATTTGAGATGTATTGCAGTTTATCGCACTTCCGGGTAGGCTTCATATTTCAGATTAGAATGTTGCCGCTTGGCATTGGGTTAGCTGCGCACTGTGATTGGCTCATCGCGATTGAGGGCGTGGCTTAGCCATTGGTCAATTGTGATTCTTCCTAGCTTCCGTGCCTCCTCCACTCCTCGAGCAAACATGTGCGCGCATGTGGGCTGCTCTTAAGCAGCAGTGCTGGTCGTCATGGTAGCGACGGAGAGTGTCTCCCAGCCAATCATTTCTTTTATCCCGGTTGGAAATAATGAGCTGTGTTTATTGCAGCACTGAGAGGACTACAGACACTCGATTTGTATACTTTCTTTTTCAGAGTACTTACAATTTTATTATGTATTGGTATACATAGACAGTTTAAACAAATTTGGGGAAAAGTTTTTTTTTTCAAAATTTCTACCTACCCTGCCTTTAAAGGGATAGTTCACCCAAAAATAAAAATTCTGTCATCCTTTACTCACCCTGATATTGTTCCACGCATGCATGACTTTCTTACTTCCGTAAAACACAGGAGACGGTGTTTCGGTTTGCAGAATGGTCAAGTTCTATAAGCAGTACCATGTTTCTTTGTGTGAGGGACAATAAGGTTCATTATTTCCTTCTGCCATGGCTTTCATGTCTTTTATGGTGATTTTAATATGTGCATATTCAAATTTGGTGCATTCTGACGTATCTAGAGTATGGCATTAGATTAGTGACTTCAAGCATGTTGTGAAGTGGCATTTAATGTAAATGAGATCAAAGATGGAATGAATGTGACTAATGATTTAAACACACACACACTACCTGACGGCCTTGAAGCAGTTTGTACATTACTTCTTTTGTGTTTCATGGAAGAGAGAAGGTCAACAAGAGGCTGAGTAAATGATGATGACAGAATTTTCAGTTTTAAATAGCAGACTTCAACAAAAAGAGCAAAACGTTTAAAAGACATTTTTTATATAGAGTGAACGCATTTGTGGTTTAAAATCTGACTAAAAACGAACAAATATGAATATTTCAAGTCTAAGCTCAAGAGGGCAAGTAGTTCAACTGCCTGCCTTTCATTTTGATCTCTCTATATGATTTGATTCAGGGTGTTACGCCAGACTCTGGAGGTTCTTGTGAATTTGAGTAATGCAGCACATGAGATAAGACACAAAGAAAACACGAAAAATCACTTAAGTAGCTCCTCACCTGAGGGACAGAGAGAACAAAACTCATCACCCATGCCACACTCAGCATTACTTTGTTCTTCTTTTTAGCCTTATTGATGGCCAGAGGGTTGAGGATGGCCGACTGCCTATCCAGGCTTATGACCACAGTCACGAATGCACAGGAGTACATAGCCACAAGCTTTAGAAACATTAAAAATCTGCAAGCCAGGTCCCCAGCCAGCCACTGAACCGTAATGTTCCAAGCAGCATCCACCGGCATCACAATGAAAGTCACCAGGAGGTCAGCGACGGTGAGGTTCATGATTAAAATCCGCACATGGGACTTGCGCTTGTTATTGGTGCTGGCAGCCCACAGCACGGCGAGGTTGCACACAGCTGATACTGCGCAAAGAGTGAAGGTAATTATCACCCTCACTTTGGCTGCTATGGAAAAGGTGGGCAGCTGCAATGCCGCTTCACCTGTATCATTGTTACACATGGGCATGGTAGAGTCACAACTGCCGTTCAGAGCATCTGCAGTCAGCTCCTGAAACATGACGTTCTCAGATGTCAGAGAGCTGTCACTCATTACTGAAGAGCAAAGGTGTGTGTTTGCTGCATTCGTTCGGCTACCTGCTGCACAATGAGGTTTACAGACGATCCATGATGATAATGATTCCAGGAGAGTGATTGTACCTGGAAAAAGCGCCTTTATTTGACAGTTCTAAAGTGGGATTTAAAAAGAAAACACATTTTTGAGTATTTTGTTCAGATATTGAACTGGCAATTAAGGGCAGACCCCTCAGCATAATGCATTCCACAATAACAAAAAATGCTAACAATTTAAAAAATAAATGTACCATCATAATGCAAGTTTGATATTGATTAGGTTACTCTCCTTTACTAAGTTTAAATGCATTGCTTGTTTACACTATGTAAGCATGCTTTTTTTTTTAGGGTTTTAGAGTAAGCATTACAAGTCGAAAACATGTCCCAATCTACTCACTTAACAGCCGCCGTATTTTATTTATTTTTTTCGAATTAAAATAATTTTCAGACTTACCTGATGCACTTCTCCCGTAATGATCAGAGCATTCAAATAAATCCAAAGACCTTGAAATAAGTGGTTGTTTGTTCATCTCACTGTCTAAAAAAAACCCTCGGTTATTTCATATCATCCATATATTTCTAAAATCCGATCTTCAAGTTCAGATGTAGCTCTCCTCAAACACTTCAAAGACAGATGAGTAGTCTGTCATCCAACAAGACACCTGTTCGTAAGGTTACATTAGTCTTGGTGAGAGAGTTATTAGCAGCAAAAAAAGCAGAGAGCGGAGAAAGTACTTTTTAAATAAAGGGAAATTCTGTAGAAAGTAAGTTTCAAACAATATAAATCAGTATGTATCTACGAGGCAACCTCAGTTGGAGAGTGATGTGTGAATGTCCGCGTCAGACTGTTGCAGCGCGAGCCTCTTCAATTCCCTCGTGCGTCACGTGACAACATCCGCGCGCTCGCTCTAGATGCGCGTGTCAGTTTGATCACGGTCATGATCATCGTCTGTAGGTCAGTTGTGTCCTGCTGAACTTGCTGTGATCCATGTTTAGCCATGTACATTCACTAATTCCATCTAAATCAACGGACGAATTACGTTTGTGGGACGGGTGAGTTTATCTAGAGATCTGACTCCCTCATCCCCAAAGGAAACACAGTTATTATTTACACTGTTGCATTTTGTATTTTCAAACGTATTTTTTTTGTAAACACAAAGATTAGATTACAAATTGGTTGGCGCATATTTTCACGCTGTGCCAAACAAATATTCACCACAAACTCCAACGATAACATTTGGAGGTTAAGACATAGCCTGGAAATAAAATAATGCCATTTTTTTTTTAAACAAAAAGCCTTGAATTGTAGCCTTCTAACTTGAAAAAATATGCATTGCATTAACCCTGCTTGTATTTTTAGGGCTTGCATTATGGACTGAAATTTAGCGTGGTTGAATATTTAAGCTGTGAATATTTAAATTCAAAACATTTCAAACACATTTTAAGTAATACAATTTCAATGATCCATATTCACATTTCATATTTCACTTCCAAAATATTCTAACTGATTAAAAATGCAACCTATTATTATAGGCTATGCAACAGGTGGTTTTAAGTTCATTTTATTTTGCTTTGCAAATTCACTTCCACAAATTCAGTGGTTCAAATTCGACAGTAAATTCAACGTTGACATCCAGGAACTGCAGGAATGGGCTCTATGCACGACAGTATTTCCGGTGAAGGTGTAAGGATTCTCGATAACTTCCGCCGATCGTAGAGTCCAATGCGATACCGAGAATTTATATTGAATTTTATACTTCCATGGTTATAATAAAGAAACATTAGTCACAAAAACAGATAAAACAGACACCCCTTGTTGTGTTTATGCTTCTTTTTAAAATTATATTAAATAAACATAACTATATATAAAAAGACGGGAGGACAGTAAATTTAGAAGACTCTGTCATAATCCCGTTTTCCTCGGTTTTCCTCCGCTTTAATCTCCACAACCGGAAATGGACGATCCTTGCGTCAAATGCGGAATTTATGCGTGCATATAGCCCATAGCAGTAGATTAACGAGCATAATCTCCACCTGCTGTTTGTCGACCTCAGCACTCACGTAGCTTAAAGGGATAGTTCACTTTGAAATTAATTCTTGGTATGTTTTAGCTTTTTGATTTGTTTTATACACGAAACGAGTGGTTTGTGTGAGAAAACGAACAGTATATAATTTTTACCTCTTGTAACCACAAGATTGTATAAATTGCACATTATGCCTGACACCTACATGGACACTTTACAGTTGGTTTTATGACTAAGTTGTTTTCTTCAAATGCTATTAAAGTTAGAAACGTGTATACCAATGTCGTATGTAACTTTAGAGACGGTCCCTAAATATGCAAACGTCCAATGTCAAGCCAACTTTATGCCAGTATCACTGAGAAACGCTGAGCATTAAACGTTGCACATTACGTTCTTATTCTCTTTAAGTCCTTCTGCTTGTGTGCGAGTTTGCTCTTTTATATCACTTTATTAGTCCATTATGCCACGTTAAGTGTTTTATATATCCAGCAGGGGGAATCCTGACTTGAGGGAAACCCGCCTAGAACGCAGCACATTGGCGCAATATAAAGTTAAAGCAACTAAACAAGCAAGAGAAATATGTCAAACTCAAACGTAAAATTGGAATCTGTACATCCGCATCGGGGGAATAACATTATAATCGAGAATGATGCATGTAGGGTACACAGGAAAAGTAATCATGAAGACACTGAATTTCACATTAAACATTATTGTAAACATGGACATACTTTGATTGAAATCAATAAAGCCAAATGGGTGAATCAGATATCTCTAGAGTTAAGCAAACTGTGTTAATATTAATTTTTAATAATCGATTTTGGTGAAATTTAATCAATTTAATTTATTTCGACAAAAATTCTCTGATCATGGGTAATGATTTGGCTAATTTTCTTTTTTGTAGTCTTATTATTTGAAAAAAAATTGGACATACTGTATGGGATTTGCAGCATGTGGGATTTTTAAAACCCTTTAATTAATTGTATATCCATATTTTATTTATAATTTACCCACTGAGGCGTGATGTGAAGCAGCTCCTGATTATAATATATCTCCTAAGCATTAGCATGACAGTAATTGATTTCAGTGAGGCTGTGAATTAAAGAGAAGATGTCAGCACTACTGCTGCAAGGAAATTTAATTTCATAGTGACCTCAAGGTCCCTTCCACACACCCAGACCTGTAGACAGGAGAGGGTGCTGTGGCAGAAGTCAAGCTCAATTCAGCTTCAGAGGGTGTTTTAGACAGATCTGAGCTTGGCCCTGTTTTCCTGCTACAGTGAGCTGAGCTGTCGGCACAGCAACACATACGGCCCTTCCCTGTCTGCTCTCATTAAATCTTGCCATGTATAAACAACCACACCACCCCTCCTACCCGAACCCATTCAGGTATAGACATCCTGTCTCCGGGGAGAATAGAAGAACTTATCAAACCCCTCTCCACATGAATAACATGCTTCGCAAACTTGCTTAGAGAGCAATTGCAACCAGCTGAGAATTCGAATGACAAGACTTTTGACCCGCCGTTTTCTGGTAGAGGATTAAATTGGAAGATTACCTGCTATAAAAATGCGTGCTTTTGAAAATGTTGTATTTCTTTCTTATTCTTATTTCATAGATTATAAGGTTCCTCTAACCCTGAAAAGTTAATTTCTAGAAACCTCATAAAAGGAAAGGTACCCTTACAGCAATAAAGGAGCATAAATTCAAATGAACATTACTTCCCCTCACATTTCTATTGGATAAGAGATTGCCCCAAGAGATATGTTCGCTATTTTGGTCTGTTCAAAGAGAAAACTTAATCAGCCCTGACTTTGTTAATAAAAGTATAGAAGAGTCATGCATAGATCTTTTTTTTTTTTTTTTTTTGCACACGGGAACTTGCTGCTATAGTTTTCACAGTTTTATTTCCATCACCTTTGCTGATATAATAGTCCCAACAGTTCTGGACTATTCACATTTTTGCATCAGTTTGTGTATTAGTGGTGGGGAGTTGACTCCTTTTGTATCGAGCAAACAAAAAACTGCATAATTTTACAAGTTTCAATGGGACTTTACTTTTGAATGTTCTCTGAACCATGAACCAAGTATTAAGTAACATTTAAAAAAAATAGACTAATGTCCCAAATAAAACAAAATCGCCAGCTAGTAAAACAGTTAAGATTTTCTTTGAAACGTCATCATCATTCAATTGACCAATTTGTTTGGTTAATTCAGGAACAAAACACCCAATTCATTTCTCTGTAGCTTTGTTTGGACAGTATTTTTAAGCAAAAACAGACAAAGTAACTACCAACATCACGTCTAAAATGTACGTTTCTCCAAATTAACTGAATTTGTATTAAACTGTTCTATAAAATCAGTGTCACGCGATCTTATACTGTGTCCTTATCACTAATAACTTCTCAGAAATTACTCCGTATAGCTTGATTTACTGACTTATTAAATTTAGTAATTTTATGTATTAATGGCAGATCCTGCATCCATAACATACTCTTTCTCGTGTAGAATTGCTTCATATATGCACTTATTTATGCCTTCATATATCAAATTGAAGCAAATAACCTGTAAAGGCAATCAATTGTGTGTCACACAGAAGAGTGACACGCTTGTGTGTGTGTGTGTGTGTGTGTGTGTGCACGTACAGTTTGATTCTCATTTACTCGTCGTTACAGTTACGTAGAGCAACTGAGTTATGATATGTTTCAACAACCGAATTGTTTGAAATAAGGTTGAATGTTATTGTAGTAAAGGTAATTTCACTGTCAAAGTCTTTAATTACATAACATACAATATACTGTATGTTCTAGAATATAATAAACTCAAAGTAACTTGACAAAATGGTCCTGTATGAACTAAATGCTATTGGCTATTTTAAAAAGGAAGTGGAGCTGTTCGATCTTTCCTGTTATGAGTTACACAGGCGTTCATGTACACTGGGTAGGCAGAACATTAGGATGATAAGCACATGGCACAGCATAAATAGGAGAACCCATCCAGCCCCTACTGCATTTAAAGGACAAGGAGCACTCATTCGCAGGCTAAGATTTTTGACCGTGAATTTGCATGCGACAACATTTTTTTTTTTTTTGATTGCATAAACAAATAGCTTCCTGAATGGCATCCCCTACCTGAAATTGCAGTTTGTGAAGCTCACAGTGTGCAGATTTTGTTCTTTAGAGACCTGGATACAAAGGTGATGGTTAAATTCTGAGGCTGTTTTTTTTTTCAAGCTGTACGTTAATGGCTTATAACGATTATCCTTAATTGTTTGTCTTTCAGTTTCAAGAGATTCGGAGAATGATTTCGAGATTGTTCAACACAATATAAATGCATTTATGAGATCAAGGCAAATGAAATTCTGTCTTATTCTGTTTATTATCTCATGTGGATCATATCTAGCTGTTACATTTGTTAAAAATGTCACATTTCGATTTTCGCTGAATGACAAGTTATGAAATTAGGAATGCTGAAATATATATATGAAGCCTGACTCTGTCTTGATGGTGGTATGGAAATGAAGACCAGGAGGAAAGCAGTCAAGTAGGTTGAAACATGTTTGTTAGATACACCTCCATATTATGCGTTATGATGAGGTACTTATACTTTATTTTTAGAGGTGTGCTGGTAGGTGTTGAGAAAGTCAACACCAGCAAGATAGAGTGGATGTGGTGGCATTAATCAAGTCTTGATCCAGTCCATCTGATGCACCTCTACTATGAAAACTGAGAGAGGTTTGGCACCATGGCAATTTGCTGAATGTAATACCTAAGATAATTGGCCAAAGTGTGAGTCAAAATCAAGCACATTAG